CACACCAGACACACGTCAGCAGCGTCTTACGTCAGCGGCGGCACTGAACGCGGATCCACAACAGAACCGGAATACACACACACACACACACACACACACACACACACACACACACACACACACACACACACACAGACACACGTCAGCGGCGGCACTGAACGCGGATCCACAACAGAACCGGAAGACAATACAATGCTGAATAAAGTCCTAGTTTTTGTTATTTTTGGACCAAAATATATTTTCGATGCTTCAAAACATTCTAACTAACCCACTGATGTCACATGGACTACTTTGATGATGTCTTTATTTCTTTTCTGGACAAGGACAGTATACCGTACATACATTTACAATGGAGGGACAGAAAGCTCTCGGACTAAATCTAAAATATCTTAAACTGTGTTCTGAAGATGAACGGTCTTACGGCCCATGTCATTAATGACATAATTTTCATTTTTGGGTGAACTAACCCTTTAACTAAAACAAATTCTTATAAAACTGATTATTAATAGAAGCTAATACACACAAATATAGCCATACCTTTTCACGGTCTGTGCCCTGCTCCTTCACACTGGTCCAGCTGTGACCGTCATTGCTAATGGAGACGGTGAACTCAGTGACCATCATCAGTTTCAGGACAGATCGAGCCCCCTGTGTGATCAACCCAGTCACTCTCTTCATAGAGAGAAAGTCCACCTGTAACCACTCGTGAGGGCTATTCGTCTGTAGAAAGAGGGAAGAAAACGGGGAAGAGACAAAATATAAGATGATCAGTTTAACAATTTATTTATTTTCTATACAGATGAATGTTTGAATGTTCACACTCAGAGAAACAAACAGCTTAATATTCTTTCAGAGCAGTTTCAATGTTAACAAACAAGTTGAAACAGTCAAAAATAAAATTGCAAACAATAGGACAAATGCAATAGAACATTTTTTGCCTACTAATAATAATAGCCTAATATACAGAATCTGAATTAAGTAATCAAATGTAATAAAACTCTGTATAGTCTTCATCGTATAAATTAAATATACATTTATTCTTATTAAAGTTACTAAAGTTATTCAGTGAAGAGCAGAAAGTGATTCTCTCGTTTGATTAACATTAACATTGACACAGACGGCAGCCGGTTTATTAGGCTGCTGTCACTTTAAGACCAAATGCACAAATCTAATATACTGACAAGCATTTGATTGCTTTCCCAACTGTTTATGTTCACTTAAGACATAACCGACTGCGTGAAAACTCGACAAGACGGGCATTATGACATATTTCTGTGTGTATTTGTCTGTTTAAGCTCACGCCAGAACCACCTGGGGAACAGCGTCTCTTTCGCACCTCAATGTGCTTTTAACTCTCTTTTTAAAAAAATTTTATTGAGCATGTCCGCTCAAGACTGTATATTTTGTGTTGTGGTTTTAGGGTTAAAGAACACGTCTGTGAACTTAATGGATAATGTCCTGGCAGAAAACTACCAGATCTGCAGGTATTAATGTTAAGTTATAAAGCAGAGCCGCACACTATAATAGCTCTAAATAACTCATAAATCCACCTCGATGACAGTGCTTGGCTCTTTGTGCGCGATCATGTTCAAAGAGGAAATAGAAGCAATAACTTAAAAACCATAAAGAGATTAAGACAATGGTCTTTCACACAGACAGACAGGGCAGAGGAAACACTTACAATGGGCTTAGAAAACACACAAGGCAGAGAGAAAATTCACTTTCACTCTATGAAAACGTGATGGATAAGATGGATGGATGGATGGATGGATGGATTGGATGGATGGATGGATGGATGGATGGATGGATGGATGGATGGATGGATGGATGGATGGATGGATGGATGGATGGATGGATGGATGGATGGATGGATGGATGGATTGGATGGATGGATGGATGGATGGATTGATTGATGAATTGATTGGATGGATGGATGGATGGATGGATTGGATGGATGGATGGATGGATGGATGGATGGATAAGATGGATGGATGGATGGATAAGATGGATGGATGGATTGGATGGATGGATGGATGGATGGATAAGATGGATGGATGGATGGATAAGATGGATGGATGGATGGATGGATGGATGGATGGATGGATGGATTGATTGGATGGATGGATGGATGGATGGATGGATTGAATGGATGGATGGATGGATTGGATGGATGGATGGATGGATTGATTGGATGGATGGATGGATAAGATGGATGGATGGATGGATTGGATGGATGGATGGATGGATAAGATGGATGGATAAGATGGATGGATGGATGGATAAGATGGATGGATGGATGGATTGATTGGATGGATGGATGGATGGATGCATGGATAAGATGGATGGATGGATGAATGGATAAGATGGATGGATGGATTGATTGGATGGATGGATAAGATGGATGGATTGGATGGATGGATGGATGGATGGATTGATTGGATGGATGGATGGATGGATGGATTGGATGGATGGATTGATTGGATGGATGGATGGATGGATT